GGTAGTGAGAATTGGCTATGGAGATGATTGTGTCATCGGTTAGGCTACTTGTGTTTTTTATGCTAAACAACTTAGGAAAGAGTGTATAATGCTGAAAATTATTTTCAAGTCATCACTCTTTAATAGAAAGTCCATGGATAAGAATGAAATGAATACTTCTAGTATAGAAAGTAAAAGTAGAATTTTTTGTTTTAATCTTATGGTTTCACTTACTTGGTCTTTCTTTATTTTAAAAATGCAATAAATACAAATACATTTATTTTAATATTTTTAAATTCTATTTTACAATTCAGAATATCTATTTGATCACATGATTAAAATAAAGTAAGTGGCCTTCTGAACTTAAACATAATAAATAAGAGAGAGAGAGAGAGAGAGAGAGAGAGAGAGAGAGAGAGAGAGAGAAAGAAACCAGGTTGAAAGGGGATAGAGGGTAAAGGCTTGCACACACATTTCCGTCGTGCGTCACAGATCTCAATGGCGCATGCAATCCGTACACCTCGATTACCGACGTGCGCCTTTTGATTTTCGTTCCCCTAACGATCTTATAGCGACTAGCGAGTTTTTAGCGGTCGGGATGCCGGGTGCGCGCCACCGGGGACAGGGGTGGGAGGAGAAAGGGGAGGAGGAGGTGCACGGTCTGATTACGATCGTATTTCCCTAAGAAAAGTTTTCGTAGCCCGAACTCACCCCCGCTGAGGCCGAGGCCCCGCGCCCGGACTGAAGTCGCTCGGACTGGTTTCGAGAGACCGATTCCCTCTCGAACGGCAGCGGGGAACGGTCCTTTGTGGTCTCAACGATTTGATCTTTAGCTCGGCCCGTACTTTTATTCGAGAACCCTCGGTTAGGGGTGTACGTACGAGATTTATGCACTCTGCGCGGTGCAACTTCGATGCGGTTTAATTTCCAGTGCCAAGAATTTTCTCCAGGGGAAGTTTAAAATTATCCTGGTGATCCCCGATAAAAGTATTTTCGGCATGGAATGAAATATAATGCATTTGGAAATATTATTCTTGACGAATCTCCACCAAACAGAATTATACATGATTTTCCATACAATAGAATTATGTAAGTAATCCATCGGCAAAAGTCATTTCATAAATTTATTTAAAATTTTTTTTGCAAAAATGAAGAAACTATTTAATTTTTCACATTCAAGCTATCAATAAGATCTTCTTTTGAAAAATTAAGAATAGTTCTTTGTTTTAGTTAACAAAACGTGTATAATGTGGCATAAAAAATAAAATTTTTACTTATTAAAATACAATTCAGACTACTTATACATGCGTATAAGTCAAAAACTATTTTATTTAGATGAATATTAGAAAATGGATAGTAAAGAATTGTTCTGGTAGCCATACGTAACTTGTTACATAGCTTTTTTTTTATTATTGTTTACACAGCTATAAAATACTTCAGGTTGGCTATGCTTGCCGTATAAATTGTCGTTTTAACGAATGATATAATCGTACGGCATACATGATAACGATATCGAGTTTATATCCTTGGAAATCGTATACAATGCGCTGTAATATACGCTTATCTGCGTGCAGCTAGCAGCGATCAGATAAAGTGGCAGTGTGAGTAAAAACACTATGTGAGCTCCTACCGCACAAAATTGCCGTTAGGTCGATACCCGTTACAATCTATGTTAAACCTTGTTTTACGTTTTTATACCGCGTATTACATCTCTCTTCCTGGGACATTAACATGTCATGAAACACGCGTTTTTTTGCGCCAGACGGTTAAAAGGATTGTAATTAAAAGGATAATAAGACACAATGGGGTAAGACACAAGAGAGAGATTTTTTGTCGTAAAATTATATTTCGAAAATATCTTTACACGGAGAGCACGATTTTGCCGATGTATCCAAAAATTTATTGTATGTATGCAGTTGTGAAAATAATTTCGTTAAAATCCGTCCAAATAATTATGTGGGAAACTCAAGTGTAATTGAGCAATGCTGCAAAAAGTTTTGACATTCTGACAACCAGCTTGAGCGTCCTGTACAATTATTTTGATAGTGCAACAAAATTATTTTTAGATCTGTATGTTACTAGCTAAATTTTTAGACACTTCAGCAAAATCGCTTTTTTTCCGTACGTATAATTTATTTTGTAATAAAAACGCGTAGAGTAAATTCGATAAATGAGTAAGTATGAGTGAATTAAAGTTTGATGTATGTACATAAAGGCGCACCGTCGAACTCAGCCATTCTATTCGAAATGAACGCAGATTTACCGGAATATTTAATAATCCTGTTTTCGGTTATGTTTGCATGCAATGTGCTTGTTGAACTTTGTCATTACACGACTTTGTTCGCGAACTTTGTTCTAAATGCACGACGATGAGCTTGAAACTCAGTGCTACGAATGCACTAGGTTAAGTTCCAGGAAGATGATGTAGGTCACCGCGGCTATAGCTTGAGACTCGTTTTCTGTACTTCTCTTACCAGGAAATCACGGAATATCGCGGCCCGAGGAATATGCTTGTTCTGCAATTCAGCGTAACAGAGAGACCGCCAATATTATCGAGGTACGATCGATACGCCGGGGCAGAGGAGTGTAATTAAATATTTAAAAGTTAATTATATTAACGCTAAACGGCGATCCGTTTTTATTCCTTTAATAGCGTATGCAATTTATCGTAACAACGGCATTTTTCTGCAGTTTTAAAGAAACGCTCCGTATATATGTACATATTTCGCGAGGTACTTTCAAACACGTGATCCTCCCCGTTTTTATCATGGATACCAATCTCGTTATGCGATTAATCCGTCAAGTGACCCTTTGATATATGACGTTTAATTCGACGCTACCTCGCCTCGTAGTACTTTCCGGCGATTCCGTGTACGTGTCTGCTGTTGCTCAACCGTCGCGAAAGTAAGCCCGGGCTCGCCAGTTAAACCTGATAACTCTCTCGCAAAATTAATCTCGGTAATAATTGCACTCCGCGTACTAGAGCGCGCCAGCCTGCGGAGTCGCGCGCCCATTTAGCTAATCGCATTTACTAATTGTAACCGCGACCGCGCCGCAAGATTTCTGGCTCTGACTCGATCAGGCAGTTGTTAAACGCGGAACCGGATTACGCCGGTAATACGCACCCGCGTTCGCTTGTTGCGCGGATTTACCGAAGATCGGCTTACCAGCCGGGATAAAATATTTAAGATGGATTCATGAAACCAACGTTTCATCCTTCACCGTACTAATCTCGATTCGGCCTTTTCACGGTATACATCGTGCGCGCCGCGAGTGTATTAAAATGCGCAAGATTTATTAAACGACGACGTGTAGTACGAAGACCAGCGTGATTTACCTGCAATGCGCGGAAAAGCTTCACGCATCCGCGAAATAAATAAATTACTAATCCCAGCTGTACGTATCCCTGCACGTATACGTCGCGTTTGATATACGTCAAAATCTACAGCGCTGGAGAGAAATACGGATTTATAAATTGTTTTAACAAAGGAAGATGTTAAGTTTTTTAATTAACTTAGAAGAAGCTATATAGGTATGTACAAATTGTACTTTATATTAAAGGGCTATACTTATAAGGCGAATTCGAGTGGCGTATTGCTTATCTTGGATAATTAATGTGACGTGATGTCTCTTTTTCGAAATGAATGCTTCACTGTCCCGCCAAACATATATATGTTAAAAATATCAATAATATATTTTTTAAAAGTGAATTGCTATTTTTGTATTCATTTTTATTATGCTTTCCTTATTCTCCTCCAATATAAAATTGTCCCGCTTTGAATTTGAAAATATCTGGTCACATTATAAGTATATAATGCGCTTTGCATCATTGATATGCATCTCCTTTCGCTTCGTGCAGCTGTGCCACGGATCACGGTGAATTGTACATTGCATAATACAAAGTAACAACGCTACTTTTTCCTCTCATAACATATACTAATTGCGGACGCGCTGCAGAACGCTATAATTTTCCTATGCCTCCTCCGCGCATAGCTCGGCCGACCTCGTTCGCGGTGTCGTCTTTCGCAATTAATTTCGGACGAGCGTTTTCGGGGGGGGGGGAGGGGGGGGGAACGAATTCGCGGATTAACGGCGGAAGTTTTCTCTCCCCCTCCCGGTCTGAAATACGTTTTTCGAGGCAATTACCTTCCGCGCGCGACGCATTCGCTAATTGTACCCCGCGACCGCAGCGACGTTTTTCCTTTTGTCGCGTTCCCCCTTCCCCGATGCGAGTTATTAAACAGTAGAATCTGCTCGTTCGCCTCTTTCTCCCCCCGTCCTCCCCCCTCCCCCAGACACCCTGCCAAGATTGCAAAAACTTGTTATCACCCGCTGTCGCAGGTTCCATTCTTCCCCCCCTTTTTTTGTTCCCTTTTTGGTCTCTGGACTTTGCGAGCGCACGCGCGCGCGTATGTGTACATCGATGCAAATAGTCTGGGGCACTCTGTGTACCGGGGGTGCCGTTAATTCGCTTACGTCCTATTCGAGTTCCCAAGCAAAAAGGTAATTATTTTCATTCGGACCGGAAAGTGCCTAACGAAGCGAGTCGCGTGTTACTGTTCCGACGGCTCGCGTTCCGATTGCTGCTTTGTGTCGCTAACTAGGAACGTTTGTCGGAGCGTATTCCGGCGCACTCCGGTTTTCGGGCCGTCCCGCGGCGTTGTGTAATCATAAGCGATTGTTAATGCAACGCGGCAAACACGAGGAGCATTAAAACGCGCCGCCGCGGCATTATTAATTCCGCCGATGAAAATCAAACGCGCGCCGTTTATCTCGCGTTTAAATCATCGGCCGATTGGTTTTTCGCGGTGGAATTCGCTCGCCATGTGTGAAAACGTACGTTTCGCATTTCTGAAACGAAGTCGCCATGACGTAACGAATCGACATGATGTTAAATAATTTAGGGGGAAGTGGAGGAATTGCGAACATCGAATAAGGCGAATGATTCTATTGCGTTGTACTAAACCCTATATAATTCTAATCACCAATTCACAATCCTCAATCTCTAATAATTCGGATTAATTTGACCAGTCAGATTTTAATTTTAATTTTAATCCGTTTCATTTTAATTTATATATATGTCGCCGGCTTTTTGTATAATCAGCCTTTTTGGATAACGCCAAGAAAACTAACCCAAACCATTTTCGAAGGCGTTATGCAAAAAGGCGTCTTTTTGCAAAGAGGCTAGCCTTTTTGCAAAAAGGCTGATTATACAAAAAGACTGCAACATATATATATATTACTTCAAATTTTCTCTCTATAGTTAAATAATCAAATCTTTTTTTTTTTTTTAAAAAAGCAGTAAAAACCAACCTCTTTATTGAACAACGCTAAGTTTTTCTCAAAATCGAAGTCTTGCTGCAAGGATTGGTCAATCGGGGTACCAAAGGTATGCTCGTCCCTCTCCAGTGCCCTTTGCCTGTGAGTCAATCTTTTTGAGACTGATTTGTTGTTAGACGCATTATTTTCGGCTACAACAACACGGTTATATTAACATAACATACACAGGCATGTATATCATGTATATTACGGTCATGTATGTTGTACTTGGAGGAATTTTTCCGTTAGGAGTCTGCTCTACTTGCTGCTGATACGGTTCCGCCGGTTTCTTGAAATTTGTCTGCGGCGTTTGAGAACTTCCCGCTTGCACCGTCGCATTTGGAACGCATTCCGAGATAGATCGTCCGACCCTCTTCGCAATCGGTCTCTTCACGATTACCTTGCTGTGCGTATCGTTCACATTTCCCGCTTCCTCGGTTGATATAATCTCAAGATTCTGTATGTCCTTTACACTGCGATGATAAAGATAATTAATACATGCGTTAAGACGTTACATGGTATATTGGGTAACTTAATATTAGGACAGTTGCTTGTGAAAAATCTTGCAAAAATTCTGAGTTGGATTTCTGAACTGCTACTGTGCATACATTACGAATTTTAAGTGCAAGAAGATTCGCTGATACTCTGATAGAAACACAAAAGATAAATGTATCGTCCTTTGAAGAACAGAATCCTCCAAATAATAAGAATAATTTTAAAAATAAACCAAGTCTTCCAAGAATGAAAGTTGGGCAATCGAAGTTAGATTGGGATTTTATATAGTTCATTTTTATAAAAATAGAAATCAATTTGAAAGTTTTGGCCCAAGACTATACCCAATAAAATAAACAATAGATTGTATGAATTTAGCTATTCAAAATAAATTTAAATTTATTTTTAAGTTCATTTACATTCAATTTAATTATATATATATATATAATTTTTAAATATTTCTTATGATTTCTATTATAAAAATAAATCAAAGCCAGCGTCTTACCTCAAGTTAACAACGGAAGAAGTATGAGGCATGCCATTGCAAAATGCTTTAGCCAGAGTCAGACTGTTCTTGTTTAGATCGATAATTTTACCCTGGTAAGCAACATCATCGATACACTTCACCGAAACTGTACAACCGAGAAACTGTTCAGACATCTTGCCTGAAACTGAAATGTCAAAGTCAAACGACTTCTACGAATGTATCATAAACACAACTTATATTTTATCACAATTACGAATTTTATGTTAGAAATTAAATACAATTGAGCTAAGACCAACCAACATACATGTTATTTCAATTATTGTCTGACAAGGTGTGATCTCAAAGCAGTGCCAACATATTGCAATCTACAGAGGTGAAAAACTGTGACCGATTAACGGGATCACAAAAGTATTGTCTATATACTGACATTAGCGTGTGTTAATATATAGATAAGGTTTCTTTTAGAAAATTAAGATTGGCGTAAAAATATATGTGATGGACAGCACACACGTGACGTTAAGAAATAAATAATTTAATAAATACACGCGGAATAAGTAAACACAGAGAAGCAGATATTCACCAAGTTCCTAACGTTGTTGAAAAAAATACTGCGCTTTCAAAGTTGCTGCTTGTTAATATAAAATTCGCACAATTATGATGTTTATGTTACAAATTAAATACAATTGAGCTAAGACCAACCAACATACATGTTATTTCAATCATTGTCTGACAAGGTGTGATCTCGAAGCAATGCCAACATATTACAATCTACAGAGGTGACGGTAAAAAATTGTAACCGGTTAACGGGATCACAAAAGTATTGTCTATATACTGACATTATTGACAATAGTGTATGTTAATATATAGATAAGGTTTCTTTTAGAAAATTAAGATTGGCGTAAAAATATATGTGATGGACAGCACACACGTGACGTTAAGAAATAAATATAATGAATACACGCGGAATAGGTAAACGCAGAGGAGCAGATAAGATATTCACCAAGTTCCTGACGTCGTTGGAAAAAAACACTGCGCTTCCTAAGTCGCTGCTTGTGTTATAGGTTAAGAAGCGGTCGCGACGTAGCTGTGGAAGATCGCGGCGACTCGTCCACGTACCTGAGTCGACGGCGGCGAAAACGAAGGAGCTTGACGAGGGGAAGAGTAAACCGCGGCGATAACTTAATTTGTTGCGCACTTATCTCAGCTCGGCGATCTGGCGTGTGCGGCATCGAGACGAATCTCACCACCACCACCCCGCTGTATGTCGACTGTACACAATTGTGGCGTGACCGTGGATTCTCTCCCTCGCCTCGCGGCGCCCGCCCACCGCTCTCTGACACAGTGAGGATCGTTCAACGTTCTTCGCGAGTACATAAATATACTCGTGCGATCCTGCGGGCGAATTTGTATAATTATAAACGATAAAGCGAAATTACACGAGCTGGAAAATGTAAATATTATTTGCGCGTCGGAACGACCCTGTTACCGACCGATAATTCCATGCGATCCTGACGAAAATGCGTATATATTCAATATATTGTACTTTAAAGAGACTCGCTTTAAAAGGGTGTCTCGATCGCGTCAGAAATTGGAACGTATTTCTGACAGTTTCATTTCAAGTTTATTTGTGAACTTTCAAAACATATCATTCAGACAATTTCGAAACATTTGCAGGAAATACAATATCTGTTATACTGACGAGTTTTTATGCTTCTCTCTCAGGTCAGAGAGAAGCATAACAGGTTGCAAGATTTGCCGCCGAACGGCGCGGCGGTTCACGAGCACTCTTTCCGTGCACTCTATTTATCTTCTGTACAACACGGCTTGCGATAGTGTATAAAATATGGCGGATTCAGCAGGAAATTGGTGTCTCATTGAGAGTGATCCTGGCGTTTTTACGGAATTGATTAAAGAATTCGGCAAGTTTACACTTAATTTTCATTTCCCTCAGGTATAACGCGTCCTCTGCCTGCACTGTTTTTGGTGTTACCCGAATTCACGTAATTCTAATAAAAAGCATTTGTCATGCGTGGGTGCTGGTGCGCACCATATATATAAATATTATGTATACATAAAAATATATACATATATATATATATATATATATATATGTTTATGTTTGATTATAAATTGATTATCAAGTCTCACACAAAGTTGCACAAAGATATTTTTTCGATAAATTTTTTAACCTTTAAACCATTTATCCCAAAAAATTACACTAACCACAATGTCGGTCTGACAGACCGCTATTGTGCTCTTGCTAATTTTATAAGTTATGTGTAATAAAAATGTATGTTTTCTGAATATTTGTGATGGGGAAAAAGAAACCTATGTTTTAATGTGAGGGTTAACAAAAAAATCTCGTACACAATAGAAATAAAATATATTTAAATGGTGAACAAATAAGAAAATGATTGACAAGTAACGTTTTAATAGCGGTGAGACCGATATAGTGGTTTAAAGGTTAATCCTTGTATCAATGTGTACTCTGTAAAATTATATTCTCTGTAAAATCGTATTATTGAATAGAATATTATATATTACTTGGAGGTGACTCGGGGCTAAATTGTACAATTACCTGTATTACTTATTAATTAATATTATATATCTTCCTGTAGGTGTCAAAGGTGCACAAGTGGAAGAGCTATGGAGTTTGGATGATGAACAATTTAATGAGTTAAAGTGAGTTTTAAGTCTAACATTCTGTATAACATTGATGTAATTTCTAATGTTAAATCTGAAGGATATCTGCAAGAGATTGGATATGTTCTTCGTAATTAATCTTTTCACACTTGCTTTTCCTGATTTCATGCATATGATAACATTTTAAGGCTAATATTGGATACCGCAGAAAGTTCGTTTTCCAAAGAGATTTTGTTCACTAAATAAAGAATTTTGACTATATAACTATGGACCTGTGATGTGTTCTGCATGAGAACACTAATTCATGACTTGTAGTTGAAGAGTCCCAAATTCAAATCCAAGGTATTTACAGCATCAAAGGGCAATTGGTAGTCCATAGTTATATAGTTACAATTTCTTATTTGGTGAACGAAATCTCTTTGAAAAACGACACAAACTTTTCATAGTACTTAATATTACATTTGTCCGTTTTTGCCATACGACGAAGCACTTCAAGCCTATCAATTGACTATAGGATGGAGAGATCCAACAACTTCTCTTTCTTGCAGCCAATCAATAGGCTTGAAAAATTTGTCGTACGCCAGAAAACGGATAAAACGTAATTAAACGTAATAATAGTATCCTAAGAATGTTATCACAGACACTTGTTTTCCTTTAGATATATAAGATAAGACATATATGTTTAGATAAAAAGCAATAACAGTTGTATCAATAATTTAAACGACATTAATATCTGTAATCTTTGTAGATTGACTTTTATGTAATGTCACTTTGTTTTTGTATAATGTTTTTCACTTTTGAAGTCTGTTATAAATTCTCTCTCTTTTTTTAGGCCTATTCACGGTTTAATATTTTTATTCAAATGGGTACAAGATGACGAATTGTCAGGGAATATTGTGCAAGACAGTAGACTGGATAAAATATTCTTTGCAAAACAGGTAATGTAATGTAATGTATAAAAATAGATATTTTAAATAGATTATATTGTGGTAATTGGAAAATAGAAAATCAAATCATTTTAATAGTAAATTGAGATACGATTTTTATTAACCTTGTACTTTATAAAAAATATTAAAAATATCAGTTAAAATTTGTCGGCATATTTCATACATAGAATAAATAACAAATCATTTTTTATCATGAATCTGTTTCATAATTAATGTTGATTCATATGTATTATGTGCGTTGAATATAAAAATATAGAGCCTGTTTAAAATAACAATTTAAAATTTAGGTAATAAACAACGCCTGCGCGACACAAGCGATACTGAGCGTTTTGTTGAATTGTAAGCACGGAGACATATCTCTAGGGCCAAATTTAGAAGAATTTAAAAATTTCTGCCAAAGCTTCGATGCAAACATGCGTGGACTTGCACTCAGTAATTCCGACGTTATAAGGGAGGTGCATAATTCCTTCTCCAGGTATTACTTTTTTTTATTACTTTTTTTTAGACTAACCACTAAATATTTATGTCGAAGAAAGTTTCAGCCTTGTTTCTATTGAAATTGCAGGCAAACTTTATTTGAATACGACTCGAAGCAGGCATCTAAAGATGACGATGTGTTTCACTTTGTGAGTTACGTTCCAATCGACGGTCGTCTGTACGAGCTAGACGGTTTGAAGGATGGGCCAATTGATTTGGGCCCGTGTCCGGTAGGAGAGCAATGGGTACAAGCTGCGAAACCTATAATTCAAAAGCGGATAAATAAGTGAGTTGTAAAATACAGAATTTCAATAATTTATTATGTGTATGCATAGATGAATGTTGTGTATATATATATATATATA